AAGGTCCCCATATGTCCAGATCTGCCTGGACGCTGCCTTTGAGCCAAGTAATGGTTGGCACGAAATGCAAACATGCCGCTATCATATCAAATGTTGAAGGCGTCCATTGAAATTCTTTTCAAAGCTCATTTCATAGTGTTCACAGTACAAAGCTTGTTGGAAAAACCGCTAGAAATCGTAGTATTAAGGAGTTAGATACGAAACCGAATGTTTTGAGCACTCAGTTTTCTAATGATCATTTTCCGCACGAGCGGTCTCCTAATGTTCTGAAGACCTCATTTCTACAATTATCGGTTTCACTCCATGAATCGCATTTTTCATACTATTTTTCAGATTTTTCCAGAGGAACATCCCGTCCTACTTACGGAAGCTCCGCTGAACCCGATGAAGCACAAGGAGAAGGTTGGTTTGCTTGATTTTGGCTGCCAAGTTTTGTGCACTTATAGTTAGCAGCTGATAGTGACTTGCATATATTCTCGGTCTAACCAGAGCCTGTCAGTACAACTAGTTGATTTCATGCCTAGCTTTACTTTTCTTGCAAGCAGGTGTAAAATCACTTGGGACTTCATTCAGTTTCTTTTCAGGCAGCTGAAATATTCTTCGAGTCGTTCAATGTTCCTGCTCTTCACATACAGATGCAGGCTGTTCTGTCGCTTTATTCTTCAGGTTAGTCTGAGTCACCTCTCTCAATTCCACAATATCATTCACATTACAGGTCGCACTACGGGAGTAGTTCTTGATTCTGGCGATGGGGTTACTCACGTAGTTCCTATCTATGAAGGTTTTGCTGTAGACCATGCGTAAGTAGCTTCATTCTTACCATACCATTTATAATAAGTTATCTAGTAGAATCCTATGTTAAATTATACTAACAGAAAACTACAGCTTGATTCGTGGTACTTTTAATGTCTTATAGTATTGGAAGAATGGATGTAGCAGGAAGAGACGTCACTCGATGGTTGCGATTGCTTCTGCGCAAGGAAGGCACTGATCTCCACAGAACTAGCGAGTTTGAGATTGTCCGTGAAATAAAAGAAAAAGCTTGTTACTTGGCCACGAACGTGGTGAAGGAGGAAGCAAGTGAGAATGACAAGGTTAGTCTTTTAGTGGGTAATCATTGCATATAATGTGATATGTTCAGCTTATATATCCTCTGCCTGATGGCTCGCGTCTAGAAATTGGTGCAAGCCGATTTCGAGCTCCAGAGGTTTTGTTCCGACCCGAACTGATTGGGGAAGAATGGCCTGGTATAGCGCAACTCGTCAATGATTCTATACGGGTAGGTGAGCATGCTTCTG